ACAAGGGTTGAGCGATATGGGACGATACGAGGTTAGAGATGTTTTGGGAGTATTGGGTTTATGGATTGGTATTATAATACTGTTTTTAAATTGCTGAGGGATGTGGCTGTCTAGGATGTTGTTGTATAGATTTATTAACCGGCTTGTTAATGGCTGACATAAGTTTTTTATCATTGGGTATGATACGCGATCAAGACCGGGTGTCTTTCCGTTGAGGCTGTTTAGAGCTGCTTTAAACTCAATCAATGTGATTCTGGATTCTATTAACAATGCTTCCGGTGATGGGTTGTGGGTTAAATTCATTGAGTAAATGAGTCGGTAAATTTAGAGTCCGAAGACGATTCTGACCAGTGAGTGACGAGGACTTGGGCTATGGATTTTGAATTTACAATGTTTATGGATGGAGTTGTGGGAGATGTTATGCAGTGTATGACATTTCTGGTTTTTCTTCCGCAGAATGTGTTGATGTTTGCCCAGATTTTTGAGGGGCCTGAATTGGGATTGATTTCTGCAGTAAACTTTTGCAGTGAGCTGCGTTTTGCTTGTTTCAGTTCTCTTCTAAAGAAAGCCTTGTTTTTCTTGAACTGTATGATGTTCTCGAGAGTTATATTTCTTCTTAGGACGTACCACGATTGGTTTTTCTTGGTTCTAAGTAGTTCGAGGGATGTGTTCCACCAAGGGACGGTTTTCTTTTTATTAAAGCTGGGGTTTGATTGTTGAATAGAGATGTTCGCACTTTGTCCTATAATTTTAATTATATTTGCTGCTTCTTGATTTACATCGTTGCTACTTGTTCTTAGGATGTGGTATTTCTCCGTAAGGGCCGAAAAAAGTGACCAGTCAGCTGCGTCTAGTTTTATCTTGGCTGTCCATAACCTTCTCTTTCCATTACATCCTCAAACAGAGATATGTGTATGGGAAAGTGGTCGCTTCCAAAGAGATCTTCGTCTGTTTTCCACTTTGAGTGGGTGACAAGATTTGGAGTACTAATTGTGAGATCAACGTGCGTCAGCGAATTATGTGTTGAGAAGTGGGTAGGAGATCCGTCGTTAAGAGTGAGTAGGTTCGATTCAGTAATGTATTTAAATATAATGTTTCCTTTCCTATTGTTTGTAGGCGACCCCCAGCTTTGGTGCCAACTGTTGAAGTCCCCCGTTATTATCGTGTTCTCGTAGGGGTTTCCAAACATGTTAACCAAGTTATCAAGCTGAAAACTTTTATCTGGTGGGATATAGGTTGTTATTAGACGAATTTTCATTTTGGAATGTAGGACTATGCCTACTGCATCGAAATCGTGGTTCATTGTAAGACGGTCGTATTGAATAGAGTTGTGGACTAGCATTGCTACTCCACCATGTGAGTTGTTGGCTGTGTTTTTTTCTATAATTGTAAAGTTTGGGGGTATAGGGATGTTATGAAGGGAGTGGATGTGGGTTTCTTGAAGGCAGATTACTTTAGGCATATAGGATTTTAGAATAAGTTGTAAATGTATATAGTTGTTCATGTAGCCGTTGCAGTTCCATTGAATTATAAGCAGGGTCATATCTAGGGTGTAGAGTTAATCTTTTAACTAAAGAACTACTGGTGTTTTAGATTCTTAGTGTTAATAGTGGGATTTTGGGTTTTTTCTTTGGCCTTAAGTGGTTTAGATACTACTGATTTTTCTTTATTCTGGCTTCTCAGCTTACGGTCTGATTCTGGAACGTCTTTTTTGGTGATCTTTTGGATGTAGGCATCAATTCGGTCGACCTCCATGTCTTCGTCGCCACTTTCACATTCGGTTACAGGCCGGCGGTGTGTCGCTGTCCTGGATGTAGAGGGTTCCATTTCGTCGCTTAAGATGTCATCGCAGTTTCGAATAGGTCGTTGTTGGTGTTGGGTTTTATGGTTTGCGGAGTTTTCATTGTTTCGCTCTTGAGTACTGGTTGTTTTTTGATTAGCAGCAATCTTTGCGTATGATGTGGGTTTGTGAATATGCCTGGAATGGTATATTTTTATGGCTTCCTTGAAATCAACTTTCTCGGTGACTTTAATTGCTGTAATTTCTTTTTGTTTAATAAAGGCTGGACATGATTTGTCTATTGGGCTGTGGTTGTGTTCGTCGTTTACGTCATTTCTACAATTGATGCAGAATTTGTTGTTGGAGCATTCCTCTTTGTCGGTAGTATGATCAACAGACGAGCAGTTATGTGTCCCATTCTGTGACACTTGCGGCATTTAAGGGGCAAGGGGATGTAGGGTCGCACCTTAACACTCTCGTAGCCAATTTTCAAAGTAGGTGGTAGGCTTGTTGTTGCGAAGGTGAATTTAATAAGGCCGGTTTCAGTGGGTTTGTTATCAATAAACTTCATGATTTTTTCTACTTTCGTTACTTTTTGGGATGAAAGCTCTCGTAGAATTTCGTCTTCCTGGATGCCTCGCAAGTCGTTTGAATAAACTACTCCTTGGGTGGAGTTAAGACTGCTGTGTTCGGATACTGTTACCGGAAAATCATGAAAAGCTTTTAGATTTAATAATCTCTGTGCTTAATATAGCCCCTTCGTTTTAATTAATAGTGTTCCAGCTCGAGTTTTTTGGCAAGATATTACTTCGCTTCCACATGTGAAATCTATCACTTTCTTGATTACAAACGGTGACACTTTTTCGAAACTGTTTTCATCGGATCTAGTTATAACAATAAATTTCGGTTCATAAAAAGGTATCTCGTTGCACTGTGTGCGGTAGTTTAAGTCCGGCGGTCGATTCATTGCAGCTGCTTCGGGCTGGCTGCGGCCCTCCGTGGTGTGATGTTGATGTAACGGTTTCTGTGCAGAAATTGTTTTTGGTTTTTTTTTTGGATTTTGATTTTTGAAAAAGAGCTTGGGTATTGCGATCACTTGCTCTGCGATGACAAAAGTACGTCTAATCTCCTCGGAGTCAAAACGTCGACTGGAAGTTGTTATATTAATTTGTAATATTGTTAAGATATCTGAAATAAACAACATGGCATCCTTACTTTTTTTTGTTTATATTTTAATTAAGGAGTTATCGTTAACTAAAGTATAAATCGTCTGCTGTATCATGAATTAAGTGGCACACTGTATGTATGTACACACATGGTTGCACGTGCTTTTGTTGTCGTAGGGCAGTTATATAAAAAAGCCAATAAGAAAATCGCACACGATTTTAGTTTTTTCTACCTATTATGTTACCATGTTATTTTAAAACTTTATACATATACACATTATACATCACCTTTTCCTTGTTCTGCGCACTTAGGGAAACTGAACAATGTACGTCTGACTGGCTTCACGATAAAACTCAAGTGTCAAAAAATAAACGTATATAAGTGCAAGCGAGACAACATGATCGAAGTAGGCCAATTCGAATTTCACTCACGTGATTGATGTCGCCATATTGCTATATCCTCTCTTTTTCGATGTCAAAGAATTTCGGAAAAGAGAGAAATCGACAACTTGACATTTTTATACCCGTTACTCGTAGAGTAAAAGGGTATACTAGATTCGTCGGAAAGTATGTAACAGGCAGAAGGAAGCGTTTCCGACCCCAAAAAGTATATATGTTCTTGATCAGGATCACTAGCCGAGTCGATCTAGCCATGTCCGTCTGTCCGTCTGTCTGTCCGGATGAACGCTGAGATCTCGGAAACTATGGGAGCTAGGCTATTGAGATTTGGCGTGCAGATTCCTGAGCTTCTTACGCAGCGCAAGTTTGTTTCAGTAGAGTGCCACGCCCACTCTAACGCCCACAAACCGCCCAAAACGGTGGCTCCTACAGTTTTGATGCTAGAATAAAAATTTTAACTGAAATGTAATTTTCTCATCAATACCTATCGATTGACCCATCGATTTTATCATCCATACCTATCAATTGCCACGCCCACCCTAACGCCCATAAACCGCCCACAAACTTCAAAAAATCGTAAATATGAACGTGGATATCTCGGAAACTATCAAAGATAGAGAATTTGGATTTCAGATTTAGATTCCGTAGCCTTATACGCAGCGCAAGTTTGTTACGCGAATATGCCACGCCCACTCTAACGCCCACAAACCGCGAAAACCTGTGACGCCCACAATTTGTATGCTAGATAAAAAATTTTAACTGAAATGTATTGGTTTCGACAATACCTAACGCCCGTAACGCTTAAATCTGTATACCGCCGGTATGCATATCTCTATTTAGCTGAGTAACGGGTATCTGATAGTCGAGGTACTCGACTATAGCGTTCTTCCTTGTTTGGTATCAATTTGACCTTATTTAATGGTAAAAATGACATGTGTCTAAAAATCACAAATTTACCATGCGCATATCAAATTGATCCTGGCTCGTTTTTATTTCTGTGTATCTGATGAAATCCGCTGGCCATGTCCAAACTGCTAAAGTATTTATTACCACGTAATCTATCTATCTGATCTGATATTAATGACAAGATGCTTATCGAAGTTTCATTACTCACTACATTGACAATTTGATTCATATACAGGGGTGGTCAAAAGTATTTTCACAAAACAAAAGTTAAATATACTCATAATTTGAACTTACATCTTGTTAACTTTGGCATCAATAGAAAGGTAATTTAAATGGCGTTTGAATGATAAAACACATTTCTTAACCCATTCAGTACACAGAGAGAATTATTCAAGTAATTTGGACTCAAATTGAGTATTTTTGTACTCAAAAATTCAGCATGAACAAAAATTCTCACACTGAGTGCAAAATACTCACTTTCAGTACAAATTTCTCAAAAAATCTGTACTTAAATTGAGTACATTTGTGCTCTTTTTTGAACATTTTTCCTCAACATGAGTACAAACTGCACTCATTTTAAGAAATAATTTAGCTTGAATTTTAGAAACGAGTATCCCCTTTTCTCATACTGAGAAATTTCCAGCGCTCAAAATGAGAAACAAGTTCTTGATAGTGTTCTTCTAAATTCTCAAATTAAGAACTTTTGCACTTAAACCCGGGTCCACCCATTTCCAGAAAAATAGGTAAAATATTTTTTTTATATTTTATTTTGTAATACAGTTACTTATATATGTATATACATGTTCCATGTTCTAGGCTATGGTATTTTTTCCCTTAGCTGTCTGGTCTAGCGAAGAGCAAAGAGGCTGAAAAAGAAAACGTTATTGTTAGCAAATATTGTAAATATATAGCATATATACATAAGCATGAAACAATAAAATTAGAATGTTATTAGATGTACATTTAAAAAGCATTTAACAAATTATATGTATGTATGTATGTACAATGTACGTAGAAACTAACAAAACTAGACTGCTTCACGTCACTTACAATCACACATACATACATATTAATGTACACGCTTTAACAATATTTTTGCAGTGTTTGTTTATTTTATCATTATTTAGAACATTATAAATACAGTTTAAATTAAAAAACTTACCCTCGAGGTACGGAAGGGTCGCACATATGTCCAATTCACTGAAATAGTTTTTCACCTTTGTGTCTTGCGCACGTCTTCACTTTGCTAAATCACACGGCAAATGACAGTCACACAAATGCGGCACTTTACACACCCATTAGTGAGAGAGAGACAACCACATACGCAACGAACTTAAGGCCGCTCTTGTCTCGTCTCGTTCGCAGTACGGAATTCTCTAGAAATTCTTATGAGAATTCGCTATTCATTTTTGAGTTTATCGGTTACTCATAATGAGAATATTAATTCTCAAGTTGGAAATTGAAGAACACATTTCCTCAAACTTAGAATTTTGCGATCAATTCAAGTCCTTTTACTTAAAATGAGTGAAGCTTTTCTCAACATTAGTTTTTTCCACAAATTTTGTACTTAAATTGAGTACATCCTCAAATTTAGAATACAAATACTCAATTTCAGAACGTCATAATTTTCTCTGTGTGCTTAAGAGGTCCGCAGTTTTTAATTGCTGTTGAGTAATGGAGAAGTAATGTTTGGGCTTTAAAGGCCCAAAAAGCTCCAGGTAATTTCGATGGTGCAAGCAAACAAGCCTTTGCAGCTCTCTTATATTCTCTTCAGTAACAGCTCCCAGCTTCTGTTACCTTCTGGTATTAAGTCACCAATTTATAATGTTAGGAAATGCACTAGAGAAAACATTTGAGTTGCATTCATCCCCAAATGAAAATTCTTCAGTTTTTCGAGCTCGATGGTTTTCGACTTATTTCCTATCTCAGTCTCTCCATATTTAAAAAGATTTTTCCTACAATTTAATTCATCTATAGTTATAAATTTATCTTTTATTAGAGCGCATAATATGTTGCATACATCGTATATGCACACCCTCTCAAACACATCATGCATTATATCAAAACAAATGTTTTCTACAACATGATCATTAAAAATGCAAACGCTCTTTACACCAGTTTCTTGAAAATTATTTAAACTTAGGGGTTCAGCATAATTAATTTTGTTTCTTAAATGGGATTCTGACTGTTCAGTATCCAGTTTCATTTCTGCTTTTGGTTTTGTACATGCTCTGCAATACATTTTGGAATTAAATGACTGCACGAAGCCATTAATTCCATTAACTGCCAAATTATCTCCAACTATCAGTCCCAAAACAAAGTAAACTGTTACTTTTCCACTGTCAGTTCTTAGCTGTATACCATTTTCTAAAATTTTCAGTTCTTCTACAAGATGATAAAACGATTTTTAATTTCCGCACTTTTTAATGGCGGCTTAAGATATAAATGCGATCTGAAAGATAAAACTCACTTTCGATCGGAGGTGTGAAGGAAAAGTAGGAAATGATATGTAACAACCACAATCATCAAAATATAAAATGTATGGTATTACTATCTTATTCAAAAAGCGTTTTACTATATTTTTAAAAATGTTTCCATTGATAAAACTTTTCATGGTGCATTCATGGGAAATGTTTAAAATTTTTTTGTAAGAAATATTTCAAAAGTTGGGGAATTACAAAAATTTTTTGAAATATAAATACCAGTGGCATTATATAAATATGATCTGTCTGAATTCCCAAAGTAGGATTGCCTTGCAAAACTATTTCTGATACTCGTTCATCAATTTTAAATGTTTTTGCATTTCTAAAAAAATTAAGTTTTCTTAAAGTTGCAAGCAATTTAAACTCAGATCCAGTGTACTGAAAAGGCTGTTTTCAAAAACAGATCAAATTTTGAAGTTCTTCATTATTAGTGCTGCCCTACTGAAACTAAAATGGTTAAAATCATATTTTGTGATTTAGATACATGTTTTCGGGGCATCGAGTTTAAGTCAGACATTTCCATTGATAGCAAAAGAGCTTTGGTTTTTAAGTCAACCAAATTATTAAGGGAAGCTGTAGAACTAATGTTGCTAACAATATCATCATATCCGCCCGATGAGAAGCAAAAAATAATTTCATTGTCGACTTCAACAAAATTTTCAAAAGAAAGACTCAGAAGAAATGGAAGCCGGTTCAATCACAGTTGGTTGCTGTTCAAAAATGTTCAAAGTTCCAAAGGTATAGGGGTTTGTAAAAATTTGATGACAGTTACAACGAACTGAAGCGGTTTTATTTAAGCAATGCACTTTTCGGAAATGGCTCACCAAATCTCGAGGAGTATCGAAAGAATTGAAACATTTAAAGCAAACAAACATTTTGGCTTTATTTTGATAAGTCGAAAAAGGTTGTAATAATAATACAGATAAAGATGATTTTAAAAAGTTCAGTAGCAAAGCAAGAGATGAGGATTTTGAATCTTAGATTATGTCAAGGTTAAAAAAAAATTTTTCCACTTGGAAAAGTTTGAAGCACATAGTAAAACTTTCTAAGAATGAAGAAAACTTTACCAATCGTTTTTCAAAATAAACATAAAATGATTTTATGTCCGAATCCTCCAATCCTTCCACTATTAAAAGTGGCTGCAACTTCATTCCTGCGTTGTAGTATTTGCTTATCATCGTATTGATTTTAGTATGGTAGTTGTTCAGATTGGTTAATTTGAGGACCATGCTCTCCTGACAATCCGAAATTGTTTCCTTCCTGATTTTTTTTCCCATATGATCCGAAAAACGACAAGTCGTTGGAAGGACAGCATTGAGAAGAATTGTGTAAAGATAATCCTTCGTGTCTGAAAAACGAGATTTACTTACATAAAAATATTTCAAAACCATTTCAAAAATACTTTACCAACGTGGGAAGTCTCGCAAATTTGAGTTAGCAGCTTCTTGCAGTACTCATTTGTTATGTTTTCCATATAATAACCGAAAATCTTTGATTTAAAGTTATCCCATTGAGAAAAAGCAAGTTTTGCATGTTTGGGTATAGCAAACTGAAATCAATGTTAATCTAAAAGTAAGAAATTTAAAATTGAAACTTTGTTAAGATATGTAAAATAATAATTTAATTCAAACTTACTAGATCGGTTACTTTAGCGTGGCTAAATTTTGTTCACTGCTGAAAGAATGTTACACTGTCCATTTCCTTAGACTCCCGCTGACTAAGAGGAAAAGTATCCTTTCAGTTGGCACAGACTAAATCCCAATCTGAGCAGTCTCTATTTAGCAATGCTTTCTTTGCTGCTGCCTCGAATTCGTCGATTTCAAAAACTTGTGAATTTGCTTGAATAGAAGAATTCTCGTCCATCGTAGGTAACTTAACCTTTTTAGATAGCTTTCGGCTACGCATATATATATATATATCTATGTACCAATGTATGTGTGACTGCAACTGAAGCACCGTGCTTCATGCAAATTATAGTCACACATAAATTCGTACATGTTGATGTACGTGCATGTACATCATGCTTAGGCAACATTTTTGCAGCGTATGTTATTGTTGGGTAAAGGAGCAGGTGTTAAATGTTTTAGCTATTTCAATGGACATATGTACATATATGTATATACATACATATGCATGTAATTATAAACTTGTAGTTGTTTTTTTAATGCACTTTATTTTAGATTCACATTATTGTTTAACATACACCACTTTTATGTACATACATACGTGTATACATATATTCTATTGCATCTAACCATGCAACTACACACCTGATCATATTAATAGGTACACACATCAACTCTGACTTAAAGGTAACAAAATAAAGACTTATTCATTGATTCAAACTTAATATTTGTTCTCTATTTGTTTTTAATAAAATAAACTTAACTGTAACATAGGATAATAATATAACATAAAAGAGATAATTTTGTGTTTCAGATACGTTTTCAGAGTGATCATAATAATAGGTACACTTCATGTGTTGGTAGGAAAAAAAATTTTAATTTCCATTTTGTATTTTTATACTCGTTACTCGTAGAGTAAAAGGGTATACTAGATTCGTCGGAAAGTATGTACAATAACAGGCAGAAGGAAGCGTTTCCGACCCCATAAAGTATATATGTTCTTGATCAGGATCACTAGCCGAGTCGATCTAGCCATGTCCGTCTGTCCGTCTGTCTGTCCGGATGAACGCTGAGATCTCGGAAACTATGGGAGCTAGGCTATTGAGATTTGGCGTGCAGATTCCTGAGCTTCTTACGCAGCGCAAGTTTGTTTCAGTAGAGTGCCACGCCCACAAACCGCCCAAAACTGTGTCTCCTACAGTTTTGATGCTAGAACAAAACTGAAATGTAATTTTCTCATCAATACCTATCGATTGACCCAAAAAAAAGTTGCCACGCCCACCCTAACGCCCATAAACCGCCCACAAACTTCAAAAAATCGTTAATATGAACGTGGATATCTCGGAAACTATCAAAGATAGAGAATTTGGATTTCAGATTTAGATTCCGTAGCCTTATACGCAGCGCAAGTTTGTTACGCGAATATGCCACGCCCACTCTAACGCCCACAAACCGCGAAAGCCTGTGACGCCCACAATTTTTATGCTAGATAAAAAATTTTAACTGAAATGTATTGGTCTCGACAATACCTATCGATTGGTCCAAATCGCCCACTCTAACGCCCATAACGCCTAAATCTGTATACCGCCGGTAGGTGGCGCATTTTAATATCGCTTTGCTACTTGCATATCTCTATTTAGCTGAGTAACGGGTATCTGATAGTCGAGGTACTCGACTATAGCGTTCTTCCTTGTTTTTTTTTGTAAATTAGTATTTCCTTACTTAGTATCCAGTGTATCCACCTCTATTTTTGGCCACTACTGCTATTCTTTTTGGCATACTTTTAATAAGAGCCTGGCAGGTCTCTACTGGTGTCTCATACCACAGTTTTTGGACACCTTCCCATAATTTTTGTTTATTTGAAAATGAATGCTTCGTCAATTTTTTTTTAAGTCTCCCAACAAGTTTTTAAGGGGGTTAAGGTCGGGAGATTGGCTTGGCCACTTCAGAACGTCAACTTTTTGGTCCTCGAAAAATTTAGATAACAGCCTTGATGTGTGTTTTGGATCATTATCTTGCTGAAATACCCAACGTTATGGCATGTTTTCCTCAGCATACGGTACCATAACTTTTTCCAATATGAATTTGTACTCTTCAGCATTCATTTTGTTCGTAGTCTGATAAATTGGACTTACGCCGTACCAGGAGAAGCAACCCCATACCATTATATTGCCACCTCCATGTTTGACTGTTTTTTTTGTAAACCGTGGATGGAATTCCTTTGCGTTAGGGCGTCGAACATTCCTTTCACAGTCATTTCCAAACAAATTAATCTTGGTTTCATCGCTCCATAATATGTTTCTCCATTTTTTCTCCCCGGTGCATCCTACACTTATAAAATTATTTTTCTAAATACTAAAAAAATCGGCCTAAACATGAAATCGCCCTAACATTAAGAAAAATCGCCCTAAATATAGGAAACATCGCCATAGAAAATATGTTTTAGGGTTAATTTTTCTAAAATGTCTATTATTTAGGGCGAATTTTTTCGAGCATATGCCTGTAATATTTTCTCATATTTAGGGCAAATCGCCTTATTTCGTGAAACAAAAAATCATCCAAAATCGCCCTTGAAACTAGAAAATCGCCCTTGAAATTTGAAAATCGGTGGCCTAGCGGTCTAATGCGTTGAGCGTTCAAACTCGTCTAAATGGCGTGAGTTCGAGCCCACGAAGAGTCAACAGTTATTTTTCATTTTTGTGCAAGTTTTTAGAATTGAATTCTTGAACAATTTTGTGTGCAGAGGCAAAACAAATATTAGAACACGTCAAAATAACAAAAAAAAAATGTATATTACATTAAAATAATAGTTTTTAATGATTAAGTCTAATTGGGTAATATAAATCATAGTTTATTGTCATTAGTGAGAATATTTCTTAGAATTAAATTGAAAATTTGTTCTTAGAACAAATTGAGACATGGAACCTTTTTGCGCGTCGCCTAACGAGATGCGTCTTTGGTGCAGCGGTAGTGCTCTCGACTGCGAACCCAGCGGTCGTGAGTTCGATTTTCGCTGCGACCACGAAGATTTTTCTCAATAAGTAAGTTGTTTTATATTTATCTTATATTCCTGATTCTGTTTAATGACTACTTTCAGTTCGTATGTCTCTATTTAGCAGTTTACCAACGTGCGTGGAGCGGCCAAATAATAACCTTGCCCTTCTCACCCTCTCAAATTATAGTAAAAAAGGAAACTAAGTCAAAATTCCTGGAAAAAGTACCGCAGATAATGTTTGCTGAGAACCAGCAAACATGTCCAAACACGTTTTTTTTATACAAATTAGTTTTAATATTTAGGGCACTTGCTCTTGTTTTTAGGGCGCTTCGCCATAATTTCAAGAAATACCGCCGTGGATGCTTAAAATTTGTTTTTATATGTTAAGGGTATTTACCTTTGAAAACAGAAAAATCGGCCAAGATTTAAGAAAATTAACCCTAGATCTAAGAAAAAACGCCCTAAATGTAAGACCAATATATGCCTATTTTTAGAAAATGTTGCCCTTATTTTGTTACCCAGTCGCCATTGAACCCCGTTTTAGGGCGATTTTCCTTGTTTTTAGGGGGATTTTACAGTAAAATTTCTATGAGTGTATCCAGTCTTTGTGGTCCCTTGCAAAAGTTTGCCTCATGGTGATATTTTTTTTGCGCATAAGTGGGACTTTTCTGGCAATTCTTCCTGGTACGCTGGCATTTTGTAGTCGTCTTCGGATAGTTGGAGCACTAACTGAATTCCCAATTTCGGCTGCATTAGCCTTCGATGACTTAAATGGGTCCTTTTTGCTCAAAGTTACTATGTAGTGTTCAAGGGTTTTTGTTGTTTTTAGTGGCCTTCCACGGGTTTCCTGTCTTGGTTTTCTTTCTAATGCATTTTTAACAAAATTAAGAGACCTGTTCATTAATTTGGCGATGGCTCGTAAAGATTTGCCTTCTTTTTTCAGACTAAGAACCAATCGAGCTTCTTTCTGAGAGAATGAGTCGCAAGACTCATTTTTTCAAAAAAAAAATAAATATTTAATTCTCGGTATTGACAGGAGCTATACTTAATTTACCTTTAGTTACCAAAAGATCACTGATTACAAAATAATTCACTCGATACTTGTGGGAAACGGAGACTGTACCTATTATTATGATTAGGCGAAATGTGTGGTGGACTCGCAATTAATAGAAAAGCTTTGATATACGGGGCATCCCCTCTTTCAACTCTTTGTCACAGTGTCGCCAGACGTTGACAACAAAAAACAAAAAATTAAAAAGTTGTCAACACTAAGAGTACCAAAAAACCATTTATAAATAAGAAATTCCGGTGTGTACCTATTAATATGATCAGGTGTGTATGTATATACGTATGTACATATGTACTCTTGCACCTTTTTTCCATGATGCACTTTACAAAAACAAATTAGATTAAAAAACTTACCCTCAGGGTACGGAAGGGCCGATAGAAGGTCCAACTCCTCAAACAAATCTTTCAACGACATCGCGCACGTCTAATCCTTCGAAACCGTGAGAGAGAGAGAGACAACCATATACGCAACGGACTAAAGGCCGCTCATCTCTCGTCTCGTTCGCAGAACGAAATTCTCTAGAACTAATTATGAGAATTATCAACTCATTTTTGAGTTTTGAGTACTCATAATGAGAATATTAATTCTCAAGTTGGAAATTGAAGAACACATTTCCTCAAACTTAGAATTTTGCGATCAATTCAAGTCCTTTTACTTAAAATGAGTGAAGCTTTTCTCAACATTAGTTTTTTCCACAAATTTTGTACTTAAATTGAGTACATCCTCAAATTGAGAATACAAATACTCAATTTCAGAACGTCATAATTTTCTCTGTGTGCTTAAGAGGTCCGCAGTTTTTAATTGCTGTTGAGTAATGGAGAAGTAATGTTTGGGCTTTAAAGGCCCTTTGCAGCTCTCTTATATTCTCTTCA